CTGCAAACCACACACACACACACACACACACACACACACACACACACATAAAAAACAAAACAAAACAAAACAAAAAAAACTATTTTACAGAGGAGTTAACCTAAAGCAAAAGACACTGAAAGGTCTTCATAAACTTATAAACTTCTGATACCTTCAATCCTACTTTTAAAAGGATGATAAAAGAGTACTTGCATTTATTTATATAGTTATATGTTTTATGTGCTCTCCACTAGTTTATATAATTAATACATTTCTGTCTTAAACAAGTGATTGGCAAAGCTCACCATTTTTCATGAAATAACTGCAATTCGTTGCTCTTTGGTGACTTTTAAGCATGCATGTTATCCATCAAAATTCTTAGACTGCATTAGTCCATCACTACCCCTACATCTCCTCTTCACATTATGTGTATTTTGACAAAGAAAAGAACTTGTTTTTTTAAATATGTTAGTGAAGAAAAGTGCTTCAAGAAATCCTAAAACTCAGAGAAACTGACTCAGGATTTCTTTTTCCCAACTTTAGGATTTATGTATCTTTTTCTTCTCTCAGAAAAAATAATTAATCTTTAAGTTAATTCCATAATATTCAAAATGGCTTATGACATGGGTTTGCCTAGTTTCTTCTTGTACTAGGTTCATTTTTAATGTTTTCCCCATTTATACCACTAATGCCCCTCTTTAAAATAATAATAAGCTAGAAACCCTACAAAGACAGAAATAATATGTTTATAAGAAAAATCATTCATACCTTCTTCTCAAATCAAAAGCACTATGAAATCTTTACATTCCTTCCAGGAAGTGTACATTTAAAACTAATATTTCTAAATTATTCTACTTAAAGTGAAGATGGATGGGTGCCTGAAAATTGTCATCCAAGGTCAGTGAAAAAAATACATAACCCTATCCTTACAGCCAGTAGAAAACACAGCCAGACTAGTGAATACGAAATGTCAGACAACTGGAAGTCATGATAAAGGGGAGGATTCGATTCTTACCCTAAAAATTAATAGGTTTTATGGTGTTTAACTGTATTCTTAATAATTCAAAATGTAAAGAGTCTTTGCCTTTTTTTACATTTCTAAGACAGTGTCACTTTATTTTCAGGATGTTAATTGCTTTTAGCTTGATACTATTTCTCTAACTTTCCATCCCAGGGCTCCACACATTTTTTTTTTTTTTATGTATTTGAAATATATTACCAGTGACTCAGTGGTGATGTCTTCCCAGCCAGAAGGCTTCCCTGGCTCTAGTTTTATGGGCCCTAGTGAACCACAAAAGCCTAAGCTGTCTAGAATCAATTTCATTCTTTTTCCTCAGAATCTCACAAAAGTATAGGTAAGAACCTCAAGAGCATCAAAGACTCATAGGTGAGAATCAAAAGTAAAGAACATCAGGAAATGCAGAAATTCCTAGTGGTAGGCAAACCTGAGCCCACCTCCTGTAATCGTTGCTCTAGCATAGCAGAGAGGCAATATGGAATTGTGAAGGAGAGTAATTCACAGGGCCACGTTAGCCACCAGGAATCAGAGTGCGATACTAAGTCACTGTAGTGTATCAGTGGAGATTGACTCAAGTGGCTATGAAGTGTATCAAGTAGAAGCAAGTGAAGCTCCATTTCCCATTGGCAACCATTTTCAGTTCCTTTCAGCCAACTTGCAACCCTCTCACTCCCTTTTCCATACCCTGCTCAACAATCACCTACACACTTTTTCCTAGATGCGTGCACCCATTCTCATGGAATTATGTGACAATCAATAGAAGATACATTAGTAGATAGATAGAGATAGAAGGTTGGATCGATGTTCAAAGTCCAATTATATACATGTTTCGTCATGATCACTTCTTACTTAATAATAACTTTTAGAAATCCCTCAGTGATGTAGATTTAATTCTGTTCTTCTCAATGACTGTATAATACTTCATGTTACTGACCTATGACAATTATCCAACCACTTTTTTTCTGGTGGGCACTCTCTGTTTATTTTTTATTCATTTGCTATCATAAATACTTAATTCACGAAGTAGGTCTTTGTTCAATGCTTCCTATGTACCTGTTCAACTCTAGACTTAGAGCAGTGAACATAAAAAAGTCTCCACTCATAGAACATCCATGCTAGTGGAGGGAACAAGCAATAATTTCATGTGTAACATATGCCTTATTTTTACAAAGCTAAATAAAGCAAGAAAAAGTTATAGGAAGCTACTTATTCCTTTAGACCAGGGAGTCAGGGGAGACCTCACTGAGGAGCTACGTGCTCAGAAACCTGAATAACTTGAGCAAGTAAGACATGAGGAATGCTAGGAGCAGAGCAGTGAGGTCAGAAGTAACAGCAAGCTCCAGAGTTCTGGCAGCAGAGCATGTTTAGAGTGATTGAGACTGAGATGCCATTGTGGCTGATGTACAATGAAAGATAAGTAGGTAAAGGAGTCAGACAGATATCTTGGCTACCGTCCAGATGATGCAGGTCTTGATAGGCTGTGGTAGGAACTTTAGAAAATGCCAGTAAACAATCACAGATTTTGCTGGATTAGTCTCCAGGAGGCTATCACAGTTCATGTTTCTACAAGCAGTCTGCAAGCACAGACAGTCTGTAAGCGAAGGCAATGGGACTCCAGAACATAGGCAGCTGTTTGTCAGCAATTTGAGTCTGCTTTTTTTTTTTGGGGGGGGGGGGGTGCATGCACTCGCCAGAGAGACAGAAAGACAGAAAGCAAGAAATCACTCCCCAGGGGGAATGGCCACGCCACAATCTCTTCTTCTCCATTTTCCTCTCGGGATCTTGGGCACGAATGCACACGTGCATGGTGCGAGTTTTAAGCCACCAGGTCCGAGACTGGAACCGCGGTCAACTACATGGGAGTCCAGTGACATAGCCATAACTCTAACTGCTGGTCCCTGAGTCTGCTTTTTTAAAAATAGACTCATAACTTGAAAACACATTAGGAAAATAAAACCTTTGTACATAAAAGTTATACAAATGCAAACATTTTTGTTAGTTTATTATGTGTGCCAAACACAGATCTGGATATTAGGTCAACTAGTAGGAAACAGAAATGTTTCACAGTGAACAGAAAATGAGGCTGAGAATTGGGACCAGCAGTTGGCCTAATGGCTGTGTTGCTGGACTCCCGTGTAGTCAACTGCAGTTCGAGTCCCGGACCCAGTGACTTAAACTCACAGCGGGTACATGTGCGTGTGTGCCCAAGATCCCGAGAGGAGAATGGAGGAGATAGAATTGCAGCATGGCCATACCCCCCAAGGGGTGATTTCTCGCTTTCTGCCTCTCTATCTCTCTGTCTTTCTGATGAGCGCATGCGTGCTATAGCAAAAACCTCTCAAAAAAAAAAAAAAATCTTGAGGCTGAGAATAAAAAATGAAATTCTGATGTATTTTCAGGTCCAGTGACCTCTGGAATAGTAAGTGCTCTGGCTAGAACTGAGGGCTCCAAATCAAGTGTCAATACAAAGTTCTTAGGATAAGAGGCTAACAGGCCCAACACATATCAATATGAGGTCAAATTTTCTAGGACAGAAGAAAATGATCTTTTAGCTAACTAGGTTTTAACACTGACTCTCAACTATAATTATAATAAAACAACTTAAATCAATAAAAATGTATAAAATGGGTAATGATCAAAGCTAAATGAACTTGTTTTAAATCATTATTGTCCTATCTTTTTTCAATATTTCTGGTCTTAGCACCTTAATTGACATCGTACATTCTATAAGGAAGAAAAAGGGAGAAAAAAAAGGGAGAAAATAAGACTGGTTTGGAGAATACACAAAGGCCTCATGGCTGACCATGGGTTCAAGTCCAGACATGATGTCTTGAAATCATATAGGGTACTTGCATGTGCTCCAAATCCCAAGAAGTAAATGGAAGAGAACAGATTGCAGTGTGGCCATTCCTCTTGGGGGAGATTTCTCACTTTCTCTGTCTCTCTCTGTATGGCAAAAACCAGGAAGAAAAAGGGAGGGGGATGCTAAAAGTCAGTGGGGAGGCCAATTCTTAAGGAATAAAAACTACACGCACCTATGCAAATCTCTGCTGCCCTTTTATCTAAAAAGCTTAAGAAACTCTTAATAACCTAATACTTACATCATATGAAAAACTACTTCTACCAAAACATAGCATTTTTAGATTATTATAAAATATTTATTTAAAAGAGCCATGTTCTCTGTATTTGCCAAGAGAGACTAGGAAAAATCTTAGGCATGATACTGATTCCACTTCAAGATTAAAGCTTCTTGGGAACCAGCAGTTAGCATAATGGCTATGTCGCTGGACTCCCACATAGTCGACCGCAGTTCGCGTCCTAGACCCAGTGGCTTAAAACTCACGCCGGGTGCATGTGCGTGCGTGCCCAAGATCCCGAGAGGAGAATGGAGGAGAAGGGATTGTGGCATGACCATCCCCTCTGGGGGGTGATTTCTCGCTTTCTGTCTCTATGTCTCTGTCTGGCTGGCGAGCGCATGCGTCCTATAGCAAAAAAAACCTCTCCAAAAAAAAAAAAAGGATTAAAGCTTCTGATGGGATATATAAATAAATAAATCCAGAGAATGCCTGCTATGTAGTAAGGCCTTTATTTCTGCAGAACTACTAATTAATTAAATTTTATTTTGTGTCTTGGGGTTAAAATTAGATTTTTATAAGGAATTTTTCAAAAAATTTTAAAAGAGGAAAAAAGTCTAAAAATATAGCAGTCAAAATTTCAGTTATACTCTAACAATCATTTGGATTTTAAAATTTGATAATCTAACAGTCAAAAAAAACAAAGCATTTCCTCTCCTCTAGACAACATAACTTGGTTCTGTCTTGGGAACACAGGTTCTGTCTCATTTCATTCACATCACACACATATGATCCCATATAAATAAGGGCTCTATGTCCCTCTATACCCCAAATAAGAGCCCTGCAAGGTGATGCTTCCTATTGTTCTTGGCCAATGCCTTCACTTAATTGTTCTAAAATGCATTTGTTCCTGTTTTCTTTTCACCTACCTTGTGAAGTTTCATCTCCATGACATCTGATAGCGGCTTTGGGTGTTGGCTGAAGAGAAAGCAGAAAGCAGCAGTTAGAGAGGTGGTTTCCTGTGGAACAGACTACACAGTCAAGGGCAGGTCATCCTCTGAATACTGAAACTGAGAAGTCACCATTAGTAATAGCAGGCAACTAGGTGTTTTCACTATGCCCTACGCAGGGCGTACTGAAGCACATTTGCTGACTTTTCTTTAACCTCAGAGTTCTGCTTTTTTTAAAGTATTTTTCCATCTTACACAGACTTTTATAACAGACTGCATTTTTGAAAAGGAGAAGCTTTCTTTCTTTAAAAAATATTATCTAGGAATCATTTTCTGGGTCTCATATAATTCGGTGTTGTTATATCACATCTTCGAAGTACTTTCAGGAAGTGGCCCCATTTTATATTTCTTCACATTTCTTTCAGTACTAGCCAATGTTCCTAGGAATCAAAGGTATATATGTATAAGTCATTGCTCGTTTATTCATTGAGTCATACATTTATTCACCAATGAATTTGGTGACTGTATATTGCATCTCTCTTTTTCACACTCAGGATATTATCACAAATAGGAGATAATCTTTTCCTGCAATAAGTTCATAAAACCTATCTGGGAGAAGAACACTGAACAAATCATTTTGAAACCATGTGAGAATTACAATAAGAACGTATATAGAATACATGGAGCCCAGCAGGGAATGAGCATCCTAATTGGGAGTAAAAGAACTGATCAAGGGAGATCATTCCTGAACTGTGGTAGAGAGTATGGCATGGGCATTTACTATGCAAGAAAATGCATTCCTAGCTGGAGTTCCATCATATATAAAGATCCAGAAGCAGAAAACAATACAGTATGCTCAGATAACTGTAACTAGTTTTATACTGATAGGACTAGCTACAGAATAAGATGTCAGCAAGGGACAAGGCTGAGATACTAACAAAATTATTTTTATTATCAAAAGATAATAATAATGTTCTATAATTTCTTTTACAGAATAAAAACAGTAAGCTATTTATGTAATGCTTTTTAACAATGTTTTAGTTTAAAAAAATGATCACTTTAGAGGCCACACAGTGGCATTGTAACAAGATGTGATGCTCAGTAAGGCTGGGTTCGCATCCAAGGACCTCCTTCCCTGAGTACACTGGGCATACCCATAATACAGGGCTGGTTGAGGCTGAAAGTGGATTGTGGCATTGAGACATTGGTGGGGTTGTCTTTCTCTCTCTCTTTCTCTCTCTCTCTCTCTCTCTCTCTCCTCTTCACTCATGAGAGAAATAAATAAATAAACTTTAAAAAAAGATTGATTGGGACTAACAGATGATGTAATGGTTACATTGCTAGGCTCTTACCTGACTGACCACAGTTCAAGTCACAGACGTGGTGGCTTGAAAAAATCATGCCAGGCGCACGTGCATGCATGCTCAGATCCCAAGAGGACAGTGGAGTGCAAGGGATTGAGGCATAGCCATCCCTCCGGGGGGATGATTACTTGCTCTCTATCCCTCTGACTCTGTCTCTCCAGTAAGCACACATGCCCTATCGAAAAAATCTCTCTATACATTCAATCGCATTATTTAGCTTACAAAGTGAACATTTCCTGTAAGCTAAATAATGCGATTGAATGTATTTTTAAAAAGTAAATAAATTAATTAATTAAATAAAAAAGAAAATAATCTCTCTAAAAATAAAGACTGATTTTTTTAGAAGAATGTAATGAAACATATTTAGGTGCTTTCATACTTTGGCCCAAGCCTAAAAAAAACTATATAAATATTACAGATTTTCACAGTGGTGAATGTCCAAACTAAGTGCTATACAGGAAGCCAAACTAGATTACATAAGACAAGCTCTTTTGAAGAATGGCTTAGATCCAATAGAAAATTACAGCATCTATAATAGTGTCTGGCATGGAATAGGCTCTCAATGAATAGGTGTGGATGGAAATAGCATATTGAGGCAACTTTTGGCAAACAAAAAAATGCATTGGGCACCAAGCCAGGTTGTCCAGCATGTCACTGTTATTGCTCCTTTGGTAATTAGAGTAGTCTCTCAGTAACCCTCCAATTGCACTTAATATTTTTTGGTCTCTAGTCCTAGCTAAACTTTCCCCTATTCCACATGTTTCTGCAGATACTTGAAAATCTTTTCTTCGGTTGTGACTGGGCAGATTCAAAGGATATTGCTATCAGACAATTGACCTTTGACATACAAATCAAAGGACACAGTTGAAATTGCCACTGGCAAGTCAGATGTCCAAATCAAAAAGGTAAAAGCAAGAGGTTCACATACAGCCACAACAAAAGCAGCAGAGCACCATTTCCTCTATACACACACCATCATCTATTGGTGTGTACGTATGGCTGGGGGTGGGTGGTGACAGCAGTGAAGGAAGTACGAAAAAGAGAGTCGGTGTGCAGGTGTGCCTAACAGAAGGGGATCCAAGGGAGTGATGCAAAAAGCTCAGGGCAGACCTGTATACCACTTCGAAATACAGAAATGCCTGTGAAGACTGTCATGCCACTACTTAGCGCACCACTTCCTAGTATGCTTCCATCCACTCTGATTTCCTTCAATTCAGGTTCACTTTAGAACTCCTTTACTTTCATTTATTTTTCTTTTTGCTTTAGGGCACGTGCACTTGCCAGAAAGACAGAGAGAGACATAGAGACAGAAAGCAAGAAATCACCCCCCTCCCCCCGAGGGGCCAACGGCCACACCGCAATCCCTTCTCCATTCTCCTCTCGGGATCTTGGGCACACACACACACGCGGCCGGTGTGAGTTTAAGCCACCAGGTCTGGGACTTAAACCGCGGTCGACTACATGAGAGTCCAGCAATACAGCTATTATGCCAACTGCTGACCCCTAGAACTCCTTTTCCAATTCTCCTTTCCCCTTTATGTTCTGCGACTATGTCACTACTCTCTTTTTATAAAGATGGATCAAAGCACTTAGAAACTATGAGCTGGGGGAACCAGCATTTAGCGTAATGGCTATGTTGCTGGACTCCCATGTATTCGACCGCGGTTCGCATCCCGGACCCGGTGGCTTAAAACTCATGCCGGGCGCGTGTGCGTGCGTGCCCAAGATCCCAAGAGGAGAACGGAGGAGAAAGGATTGTGGCATGACCATCCCCCCTGGGGGGTGATTTCTCGCTTTCTATCTCTATGTCTCTCTCTGTCTGTCTGGCGAGCACACGCGCCCTGTAGTGAAAACCTCTCAAAGAAAAAAAAGAAACTATGAGCTGGATGGACTGTAGATAGCATCAAATTCAAACCTCCATTTCATGTTTGAAGACATATCAAGTGAGAAGTTGAGCATCTCATTCAAAAGTATATTTCTTTTACATAACAGAGATGAACCTCTGTCTCCTGACAACCCTCCCCATCCCATGTCCAGGGCAGATTTTACATAGTTTTTTTTTTTATAATTTTTTATATTCTTGTGCCTACCCAACCAGTCAGGGCATAATTATGACTTAATGTAGGTACCACATATTAAGCCTGGTTTCCATCTTCTTTCTTACTGGCCCTTTTCAATGTTAACAATTGATACTGAGCCATTTTTCCCCTTATGCTCTGTGCTTTTCTTCCATTTCCATCCACATTCAAGCAATTTTTTTTTTTTTTATTAAGAGAGAGATCTTTTTGCAATAGGGGGTGTGTACTTACTGGAGAGTCAAAAAGACATAAAATGAGAAATCAGCCCCCAGGGGAATGGCCATACTGCAACACTTCAATCCTTTTTTCTCCATTCTCCTCTTGGGATTTTTGGGTATACACATTACATGTGCCTGATATGAATTTTGTTTTGTTTTATTTTGTTTTGGAGAGGTTTTTGCTATAGGGCATGTGCACTTGCCAGAAAGACAGAGACAGAGAGACAGAAAGTGAGAAATCACCCCCCAGGGGGGATGGACACGCCACAATCCCTTCTCCTCCTTCTCTTTCTTTCTCCCCTTGGGATTAGGGGCACACACTTACAGACGCCCAGAGTGAGTTTAAGCCACCAGGTCCGGGACTCAAACTGCAGTCGACTACATGGGAGTTCAGAGACATAGCCATTACACCAACTGCTGGTCCCCCTGACGTGAGTTTTAAGCTGCCGGTTCCAGGACTCAAACCGTGGTCAACTACATGGGAGTCCAGCAATGTAACCATTACATCAACTTCTAGCCCCCAAGCAAATACTTTTAAGTTCCATCCTTAGTGGCCTTGTCCTCCCATGAGTAGTCTATCCCAGTTCCACTAGGTAGTGTTCCTTCCCTCTTCTGAGCTCATGGTATCTCTGAACTATTTTTTTTCAAGCATGTATTTATTTTCTTGATAAAATTCCTGAATTGCTATTTGATTTACTTGTATCTTTTCTTCTTGCCCCCATAATAATCTTATGGATAAAAATCACAATTTTTTTTTGTTTCTGTATTTACTCATCAACTAAGATTGTACACACTGGAAAGAAATTTAAGAAATATTTGCACAATAAGTAGACCCTGGTAACATTTAAAATTTTAAACAAATATTTAAAATTTTCTTTTTTTAAAAAAGTAAATTCATAATGGAAGAAAGACATTTTTTTGGCATTGGGACTTCAAATACCTTGTCGGTATTTCTATATAGCTAGCTTCTACCATACTGCCAAGTAAAATGGGCCAGGTGTGGAGATTCTTTGGTCCTAATCTGTACTTATAAATTAAATAGAGAAAAAGTTGTCATTCAGTTTATTCATATGTGAAAGGTAGATGGAGTTGATATCTGAATTCCCCCAGCACTTAAATGCTAAGCACTACAATTCACATCAATAGTAAGAATTTGGACCACATGGATTCAGCCCATTATTACACTGTAGCCGAAGCAAATAACTTCACCCTTTTAGCTTTTTGGTTGATGAACCTCTGTCTTATTCCTGAGAAAACCTGAGAGGACCTTATCTAACTTGTATATTTTGAATTTTTTTTGTTTTATGTCAACTAGGGGTTTGGGATCAGCAGTTAGCGTAATGGCTATGTCGCTGGACTCCCATGTAGTCAACCTTGGTTCAAGTCCCGGACCTGGTGGCTTAAACTCACGCCAGGCACATGTGCGTGCGTGCGTGCCCAAGGTCCCGAGAGGAGAATGGAGGAGAAGGGATTACGGCATGACCATCCCCCCTGGGGGGTAATTTCTCTCTTTCTGTCTCTCTGTCTCC